TCGTATCGGAGTTAAGAGAAAAAATAACTAACTCTGTTAATGTATCCGATCCAACTGGTGTGAATGATCATGTCAAAATACTGTTTTACTCAAGTTTATCGATGTGTAAGCAAAAGTTAAGAGCAATGTCATCAGGCTCATTAACAATGACACACCCAAGAAGAAATCCTCCAGTTTATGGCCATGGTAGTGCATCAAGTTCATCCCGTGTAATTGATAGCTATCCATTAGATGGAAAAGAAGTGACATCGCTTTTGAATTCTCTGAAGAGGAGCATTGAAGTTTTGTCGAGCAAAGTCGATCAGTTAATAAATTCAACTAATGAACGTTTCACTAATGTTGAGGATAAACTTGAATCTACTCATAATACAAGCGGAGATTTTCGTGATCCATCTCTAAAAATTACTGATGTGGCCCTTACTGAAATATCAAACTGTCGAAATGATACACGCTGGCGTAAGCGCATCAAGAACATGGAATGGCCATACTTATCCGCTGAACAAGCAGATGCAGTTCGTAAGGAGTTATTGAAGAATAACAAATCAGTATCCAAAACCGTCATTTCATTAGCAAGAATTATCTATGGAGATAAACTAAAAACTCATTTGCTTGGTGATCGAGGGAAGCCAGTTCGAGCTGCAAGAGAAGGAGAAAGATCACTCATCATTCCTGAAATTGAAGAAAAAATTTTGAGAGGTAAGACATTGCCATGTTGAAATGTGCATTTACTCATTAAATCGGTTTTCAAGCTATACTAGAAAATTTCGGAAAAGATCTTTTTAGTGACCCTACAAATTGGGAAGTGCTTGTTAGGGGTCCTGTAAACCAAAGTGGAAGAGAACGGAAAAGAAAAAGAAATAATATGGAAAGTGAAAGTGATCAAACACACTTGGCTGGAGAAGCGACTGAGGTAAATGAAGAAACTTCATCTAAAAGGATCCGTGAAAATTCAAATGAAAATTCAGAATCAGAAATTGAAATATGACCATACTGTGGCCATGAGTCAAGTTAACAATATGTAATTATTATTCGGTCCCTTATTTAGCTAAAAAGCTAAGCGTGTTTTTCACTGTATTCCAATTTTTGATTTATTTGTGTTATAATTGATTTGTTAATTATTTTTTGGTTTGATTAAATTTTTGAAATGGAATTATCTGACAATTTCGATGACTTCGAGAGCAATGAAGTTAAGATTATATAATTTTAACAGCCTATCATGAAATACTAATGAGTATAATTTTGTTTCCATTTCAGACGCTTCTAACCCTAGTCAAGTTGATCTTTTTTTGTTAATCAATCAAAGACTTAATTCATTGGAAGCTTCGTTTCAACAAATGAACATGAGATTATTATCTTTAGAAGGTGCAACTGGCAACACCATGGCCATGGGGAATTCAGAATATCCTGTTGAATGGAAATTGAGATCTGCTAAGGATTATACTTCGTACGCTGAGAAACGCATAGCCAACATAAAGCTTGATAATGAGGTAAATTTTTCCTTTTGTTTATTCTTTTGTGATATATTCTTTAAACTTATACTTATTTATTTCATCTAAAGTGGAGAAAAAATTTCCTATCTATTGAATTTCCTGGCGTGGATAAAGAATCTAAAGAAAAGATTGTTTCAGCAATTTTCAAGCAACGTTTATGCGTCTCAAGTATCATCAATACAATTGCAAAGGAAACAATTGGGATCCAAAAATTGAGTTATCAAGCACTTGGTTGTCATGGAATTGCTGTGGCCACAGGCGGATCAACGAAAAATTCAAGACCAACAATTGCCCAGGAAGATGAAAATAAATTACGAGCTGTTGTTGGCTTCTTAGACAAGATATTTGTATCAAAAAATGGTTGGGAATATTTGGTTAGACGACCTGTTAATCAAATGGGACGGGAATTCAAGTCAGGCAAACGTGACCAAGCTGATATTTCAACCTATTTCAACAAATCACCAAAACAGGTTAAGCTTGCAGCATCCAACTCAGCTTCACCTCTTCAGCTTACTTCAACTAGTGAGGCAAACACAACCACACACCATGCTAAGGCCATATCAGGATCAAGTGTTGATAATTCCAAAGATGATGAATCAAGAAAAAGCTCAAGCACCAGTAAGGAAATGAGTACTGCTGTAGCGAAAGCTCCAGTTTTTTCATCGATTGGAAATATTATCAATACTTCAAATACATCTACTGGCACGGACTTTTTATCAATGTTCAACCGTGAAAAAACTGGAAGTTCATACTTCTCGCGAACCTACCAATGATACAATAATACTGTAACCCAAATACTTTTCTTATCGATCTCATATTGATCTCATATTATGAACTTATACGCCTTTTGCTTTTAGAGAAGCACATCTGAATCAAACCTAATCATTTTTACCCAGAATCTTATTCACTTTCAATCTGTCTTACAACAAGATTATGATATTTTTACATTGAAATCAAGTTTAAACATTGTTATTCCCATATCATGGCCTCAAAAAATAAATTTATATTTGAATATAAAACTTGCTTGAATTTTAGTAATTTTTAAATACCATTATACGCAAAATACAATGAATTTTATTGTAGAAGTGATCTAATCCTATCAATTTTTTGACGCTGAACAAGTTTAGCCATGTCAAGCCCATAACAATTAGACATCAGCTACTGAAAAGTATGATGTCAAATTTTTAGCAATACATTATTCAGTTTTCATGTGTAAAATAATGTACCCATAGAAAAAATGCTTTGGAATGCTATTAAAAACGCGCAATAGTAAGCGTAAGAAATTTTCGCTTGTTTTGTATTACCATAGCATGTTTTTTATAAGTTTCATCTGAAATTACAACCATACGCGAATAATTTTCTGTTCTGATCGTGATAGCGTTTAGTTGCTTAATTGCTAAAATCTTTAGTGAATTCAATTCAAAAAAGTGTATGCCCTCAGTAATACACAGCTTGAACTTAACTATGGAACATAGAAAATCTTGTTAATTCTTACTGTGGGAAATGTATGACTTGATTTGGAACATATTCTGATAATCGAGAGGTTCCCCATCATGGACACACTCAAAATTACTTGCAATCCGTTACCAAGATAAATAACCGAGTCCATGGTAAGCTTATGCTAAAATTTCAACCCGGGTTGTTTAGTTGTTGAGTAAATAATGGTTCAAGTGCAACAGGAAAAAAATAAATTACATCTAATACAAGATGAATTTACATTTGATTAGTAAAATGATACATGCAAGGAAACAAGAGAAACAAGAAAAAGCAACTCCAACGAAAATGACTTCGTTTTATTTGAACAGCATATTCGAGCAAAACAATCAACATTTGTTTTTGATATTGGATTATAATAGTTGATATGCAAGTGAAAAACAAGTCTCATTGAATACCAAAAATCAAAAAATGACAAAAAAGATATTAAAAGGAATATTAAGTGGAAATGAATTTTTTCACGACTTATTGTAATAATGGGTGTCAAAGTCAACATCGAAAGTCATACTCAGTGATGGCAACAAATGTTGAAATTTTTTCGAAGCATTTGATTGAAAATTTCTGTTCGTTTTTTTGAAATTTTTTGTTCTAATATGAAAGACACTTTTTCGAGTCAATTTATTTTAGTTTTTCGATTGTTTTATTTCCAATTTGTTGGCTGTCATTAATCAGTTTTAGTGGCACAAAACTATCAGAATTCATGTTTCCTATTGTATTTACAGGACTTTAGAACTTTTTATTTTTTCGTTTGACGATTTTGTCATTCAACAAATGTGTATAATGATATGTTGACATGTCAGTAATCAACCAACTTTGAATGGAAACAAAGCTTTTGCCATCAAATCATAAATATAACTTTAGCCTCGTTTTACTTGTTCTGTAATACTCTCTGGTGAATTTAGTTTTATTGTCACATTTTCCATGTTATCTACCTTTTTTCATCATTATAATTAGTCGCTTTGAGAGAAGATAATATTGTAATGACTTTTTCTGTCAAAACGTAATATAACATTTATATCTTTGCATACATCAAAAGTAATGAAACTGTTTACAAACTAGAGAATCAATTACAGGTTTGACAAAATAATCTTGTCACATTGTTGTAAGTAAATTGCCTTTGCAAGAGAAAAATCTTTTTCTTCATCTTTTCGTTGCATATTTCAGTTCAAAACTCAATAATCACAATGACAAAGTTTTCCAATTTTTCTGCTGAAAATTGCATTCTGCATTCTGAGATGGTTTGCCGTTCTAAAGATGAATACTGATTAGCCATCTTCAATTTCAATTCATCTTTCAAGTTGAGTTTAAAGAAGAACTCGTAAAAACAGGCACAAAATGAACAACGAATAATACAAGAATAAGTTTAAAAGCGAAAAAGCTAATCAAAGAGAAAAAATGTTTTCCAGATTTCCATTTTACTCCATGCTAACCTTATAACTGGAAACAAAGTCTGTTTTGAGTAGATAGCCTTATATCAATCTACTTTAATCTTCAAGCCTTTTAGAGGTTGCATCTGCTGGAAAACACCAACCTTACATGAATAGTTTCAAGGTTTTCTTTTCATTCTTTAAACTTTTAAATCTTATAAAGATATAAATGATTTCATTTAAGAAATAAGACAAAATTTTCATAAAATGAGTCCATTTGCTTCTTTACAAATCAGACGTTGAAAAAGGTACAAAACTCGAAGCCTTCTGGTTATCTGGAAATCTTTTAGCTTAAATTTTATTCAATTTCTATCACATTGTATTTCATTGCAAAATTTTGACTCAATAATGAGAAAGAAAGCAATCAATTGTGTGAATTGTCATATTTTTGAGCCCAGAAAAATGTTTCGCATGAATTTCGACATTGAAATATTTCAAAACTTGTGTATTTATATGGAAATTCGTTTGATAGTTTTTGATAGTGTTTCATGATAGTGATAGTTTTTCATCACTTTTGATAGTTTATTTATCTGAATTCATTATTTATCTATAATAATGGCTTATGCATTTCAATAACTGTAATAATCGAAAGGAAATATTTTTTCAGATTTTATCTGATGTATTTTTCCGGGGTTTCGTCACTTTCAAGAGAAAGAGAATCACAAGAGAATCATTCAATTGTTAGTAAAAGTCAGTTTATATGAGCATTTTGGTGTAGAATGCAATTACAATCAGCTCGGATTCCGAAATTGTTCCAATCTTGAAAAAAATAAAAATGAAAAGTAAATTTATAGTCCTCAAGTTAACTGTGCGAGGTCAACCCTTAATGGATCGCTCTAAGAGCGGTATATTATAGCTATTCCTGACGAAGGGGTGAAAAAATCCTGTCATTGAAATTCCTTTATTTCACAGGATGCTTTTTAACTCGATAGGATTCAATTTCTTTTTAAAGTTTCCACGAACTTTGGAGCACAAGGGCAAATAAACAATAATAAGTAAAATTTTACTTTAAATTCTTCTCCTCTTGACAAGACGACTGACCCTAACCTGTGTCTAAAAATTTCTAGATAATTCAGATAAATGCGATTTTCTCGGGAACTAGTTTAAATATAATTTCAAAATTTTCAGGAATTGCTTAGGGCACTATGAGCTATCATGTATATAAAGGAAAAAAATTTCGGACAATGAACACTGTCTCTATTCATGATGAGTTTGAGAGGGTTGAAAAGTGCATGTTTAAACATTTTTTCTATACATAGTTCAGAGTGTAAAAGAGCAGAAATTGTTCGAAAATTTTGTGATTGTGGTGTTCCCCGCTCAACAGCTAATAAATATTATAATGAATTATCAAATGATATTGAAAATTTCATGGTAAATTCTGCTGGACGCCCTCAGATTAAAATTACGTCACAAGTGAAGAAAAAAGTTCTGACGATGACGCAAGGCAAAGTTTTTCCTGTATATCGTAAAATTGGAAGAAAACTCAACATTCATCAAGATTCAGCAAAAAAAATTGTTCAAAAACTTGGAATTAATGTGAAAAAAAGAAAAAAAGTTAAGAAAGTAAAATCCAAACAAGAAGAAACCATCATCGAACGATTGCCTCGACTTCGAAAAGCTTTGAATTACCGAATTGCGATTTTGGATGACGAATCTTATTTCGATCTTGATGGTCATGATTTCTTCGGTGGCCAATATTATTCATTTACAGGGGATTCTGACATGGTGCCTGATAAAATTAAATATCGATTTAAAGAAAAATTTGGAAAAAAATTAATGATTTGGGCCGCCATCAGTGAACTCGGAATTTCTGATATTTATTTTCATGAGTCAAAAGGTGCAGTTAATTCTGAAATCTATGTCAAAGAATGCATCAAAAAAAGATTGGTTCCATTCATCAAAAAGCATAAAAAAAGATTCATTTTCTGGCCTGATCTTGCTTCATCACATTACTCACTCCGAACAATTGCAGCTTTTGATGAACTTTCGATTCCTTTTGTCCCTAAGTCATCTAATCCCCCTGCAGTACCTGAACTTCGCCCAATTGAAGTATTTTGGAGTCACCTTAAATCTAAAGTTTATGCTGATGGATTTTGTGCTGAAAACACCCTAGAATTGATTAAAAGAATAAAAACTATGGTGAAAAAATTCCCAGAAACCTATTTCAAAGACCTCATGAAAAATCTTAAATTGTTTTACTATTTTTCAAAGGATGGAAGCAAATATAGGATTCACTTTTGACATTTTAATAACCTTTTTTCTCTTTTCAGTCAATCATCTCCCCTTCATGTTCAACTCCGAAGAGTTTTAGCTCACCTCCAGTCTGTCCTGATCGCCGTCCCCTCCTTCATCACCCGAAGCATCGAGCTTGCGATCGAAAGGGTCAGGTCGTATGAGGACCAGGAGGCGCGAATCGAGCGCCTGTTGGTGAGAAACCAGCGCCTGTTGGCGCAAAACCAACATCTTCACGCCAGGAACCAGGAGCTGAAAGATGAGCTCGAGGAGATCCGCAATGAACTGGCCGAGAAGGACCAGTTTATCCGTTATATTGATCTGCGGTGTGAAGCCGCCTTTGGTTTCCCTCCTGAAGTTTGCCAGGAGCGATATGCTCGGTGGGTTGAGTCTCGAGTGCGAGAGCTCGAGCTCAGAGACTCTAGCCGAGGCCTTTAATTTGTATAAATTTCATTTTTATTTTTCATTTAATTTATTTTTTTATTAAAAAAGTTTTCATTTTTCATTAAAAAAAGTTTTCATTTTTTTACCGGGAAAAAACTGATACCGTATGACGGTATCATTGGTCCAGAGGCGGACTGTCTCAGAAGCGGACAGATTTTCTGTTCCAGAAAAGCCAAGTTGTCCCAGAAAAGGACTTTATATAACTACTAATAAGGGTTAAGCAATATAACGTTGCGGTTGCTTGCGAAGTCTACGACTTCATCTTAGTTGTGTTTCCGACTC